AGTTTGGATCTTCCACAATATATTCAAAATTCAATACTGAAGACTCCATTGATATGCGTATTTCAACTAGTAAAAAGAACGAAATGGTTATTTCTATAATATATGCCAAGTTCAAAAGGATTTGTTAAATACCCGTGTTGCATTTTCCAAATCCACTTCACCTGGCTGACATGCTCGATCAGTCAGATCAGGATTAAATGGATTGCAAAGGGATGGTAGACGTGGGCCAGATTGATTGAAGTAGAGAGTTGGAACGTTCGGGGGGAAATTGATATTGGAGACATTATTGACAACGAAGTTCATTATATTAGCAAGTTGAGAAGTGACTTCCTTGGTTCTTGTCAAAGTTTCTTGTGCCGTGGCATTGTCCACGCATGGCAGTATATCGTCTAGAGCAGTATGGGCCATTGGATTCTGGACCCATTGATCCATTGCCACACAAGTGTCTGCAGACACACTGATTTGAAAATCGAGCAGTTAGATTCGAGAAAGGAAATCCAAATCAATTCTAAGTCAATGGAAAAAGAATGAGCTTAGCAGCAACTTAAAAGAGGCAACTGCAAATTATTTTGAAATAAAGGTAACCATTTAGTAAATAAATAGGTAACTAGAACGATTTGGATCATAATCATCCACCAGAAACGTTTAGTATTAAGCAGCTGGTAAAGAAAAAACATGGTTTCAGCTCATTTTCACAAAGTGAACGACTTAAATAACCTGAACATTTTCCTCATATGATATGCATAATCTAAGCTATAGAGTAATAAACCTAGCAAAAGGAAAATGGAAAGAAATGACAATGTGAGTAAAAGATGTGAATTGTTTAAAATAGATCATACTTGTGGAGGAGAAGAAAAATGCCACACAATATAAAAGTTCCAGTGACAAGAATCCATCCCAAGATCACCAAGCTGCAACAACAAAAGCAATCCTTTAGAAACGCTAAAGGAAGAAATGAAGAAAATGTACCGGAATTCTATTTAAATAACTGCATCACTTACATGTATACAAGAAATTGCATACCAAAAAGTGAAAACACTGAGAAATTCGAAAGACAAGGTCAGCCACAAGTAGATTGTAAACAGATTGTTCTTTTCTCCTCAGATTTAAATGATTAAAAATAGCCTTACCAAATCCAAGAAACGTCAAGATAAGCATAATGGCAGACAGTATGATTAGAGCCAATCTCCTGCAAGAGCCATAAAATGTTTAACAAACTAATTAATTTGGAATTCCATAATGCCAGAAAGATGTATCATGAACAGTATGTGCAATTAACTTACACAGAATCGATTAGATTTTTTATGTCATTTGAATTATCTTCTGTTGTACTGGCAAGGGCACTAGCAGAAGAGTTTATCTTGGTCTGAATCCGATCGATATCAGATTGGACATTAGAAGGGAGAAACATTTGATTCACTCCGACCTTCTTAGCCGCAGAAAGATATTCAGATACGTTCCTAAGTTTCTCGGATGTGGTATTTGCCTGATGTACAACGTATTCCAAAGTGTTTGTTGTGCTGCTATGATATTTCCCCTGGCCAGTGTACAAAACAGCACACCCAATGCTGAAAACGGCAGGCACCAAATTAGTTTGAGAGAGCGATCGTGCACGT